GGGGGGGGCAGATGATTAAAGACTATATTTCATATATATGTCAAACAAGACAAGAGTCTCAGTGTAAACCTCTGGTTACCGTGACGACCAGCGTGAGAAACGATCAAAACATTTCTGTCGTAAACTGACTAACGTTCCCACGTTCTGGTTTGTTTATATTGCTGTAAATATAGATCAAATATACTTCTATATATTTAGGTGGACTGGCGTCGTCGTAGTTCAACGAGTGAATGTTAAATATTTTTAACATTTTATTTTGGTACATTTCTCCCGCAGGAAGACTTTTAATTTGACGTTGAAAATCAATCCGTATTTTTTTTTTTTAAAGGAAACCTCGAAGTACATCGTACACGCGAGTACACACGAGTACACACAAGTACCACGGAGGCCACGCGTCGAACTCGAAGGTCTGCGGACCAGATCTTTAGAAGTAAAACAGTGTGTGAAATGTACTAGTTTGAATCGTGTACACGCAGTACACGCAGTACACACAGTAAACGCAGTACACACAGTACACGCAGTACACGCAGTACAGGTCAAATAAATTAACCCTTCTACTGTACTCAATAATGCAGTACATTAGAACTGTTTACTTTTTCTGTCTTATCATCACTACAAGAATTTTTGTATATTTTTCCAAATATATTTGTATATATTGTGTATATCTATATTTTGAATATATTTGTGCGTCATATGTTTTTTATATATCAAAATATATTTTTAATATATTTTGATATATTTGTATATTTGTGCGTCATAGTCTTTATATATTTTGATATATTTGTATATTTTGATATATTTATATATTTGTGCGTCATATATTTTTAATATATTTTGACATATTTATACATTTGTGCGTCATATATTTTTAATATATTTTAATACATTTATATATTTGTGCGTCATATATTTTTTATATATTTTGATATATTTATATAATTGTGCGTCAAATTTTTTATATATTTTAATATATTTGTATATTTTGATATATTTATACATTTGTGCGTCATGTATTTTGATATATTTATATATTTGTGCATCATATATTTTGACATATTTATATATTTGTGCGTCATATATTTTTTATATATTTTGATATATTTATATATTTCTGCATACTTTTAATATATTTTGATATATTTATATATTTGTGCGTCGTATAGTTTTAATATATTTTGATACATTTATATATTTGTGCATCATATATTTTGATATATTTATATATTTGTGCATCATATATCTTTAATATATTTTAATATATGTATATATTTATGCATCATATATTTTTGATATATTTATGCATCATATATTTTTAATATATTTTGATATATTTGTGCATCATATATTTTTCAAATATATTTTGATATACTTCTATTTTTCGAACGCCATCTTCCTGGTTTTGTGACCCGACTCTTGTTCCCACCTGGTTCCTGGTTCCTGGTTC